AAATGTCTCTGCAGAGTTTGTTATAACAGTAATGTCTGACTGAGAAGAACAGCATCTTTGCAGTCTCTAAAAATGTGAAAGACCCACAATGCTAGTAGAGACCATCTTTGCCTAGGCTGGAAGTAAAAAGAGGGAACTCAAAAAAGGTTTTCTTTTCATTTGCAGCAGAAAGTACTTTTTAATTTAAAAAAAGTACTTTCTGAGGAAATCATGTAATTTGGTAATGCTGATGTGTGCCCCCCAGATTTGAAGGTCATTGTGTAATTATGGGTCCACTTAAAATGTCAACTTAAGCCGATCTCTACTCCCCTTACCGTTATTGCACAAATGTTTAGATCACAAAATAAATGTTGTGATATTTGAAGTATAATTAAACCTCAGGGTATAATGCATGTATGTACTGCTAGCAAGCAGTAGATATATGCAAAAACATGAGGAAAAAAAAGTTACCAAAAAGGTTAAACCTTACCTGTGTGTCCGCCGCGCGCTCCCGTCTGAAGATCCTTGAGCAGCCATGAAGATTCATGGGGCGGGTGGCTACGCAGTAGAGATATTCGGCCAGGAGAAGAGAGTCCCAGGGTAAGTCAATGCAGGCAGCCTGGCAGTGTGCACCCGCACTGACTCCGTGGGACACAGTATTCAGCGCTGGATCAGAGACAGGCACCAGTGCTGGAGGGACCCCTGAACACTACAGGAGAGAAGAAGATGATCGGATCAAGAGGCATCATTTAAGGTAAGTCCTTAAAGCGGGGAGGGGGGGTTCGACTTAACGTCACATTAGACCCCATATATACATCACACATTAATCTGTTTTCTTTAACCCAGCGCACCAAAACGCACAGACGGTTCCTATCTGTGCACTGAGGTGAGCTGGAAAGGTGTGTTGGAATGCCATTAAAGGGTGTTATGGTAATGTGCGTTCACTGAGCATAACCACAAAGTATAGGTCCTAAAATAGGCTTAAAAATACAAAAACTGGAGTTTGGCTTTAAAGGAACAGTCACCATCACCCATAAGGAATATTGAGGTATCATGGCACCTAGCTGGTATTATGCCCGGTTGGTTAGTAAAAATGTGACTTGTTTTTAATAGGAAATTGATCATAAGGCTGAAGTAGAGCACCCCTAGGTTTTGTTTATATCTCGTCTGTGGTGATCACTCCAGTCAGTTCATTTCCCTGAGCTGGCAGAATTCTCTATATTAAAGAAATGAAGACTCCAACAAGGATTACCCCTCCTAAAGGTGCTCTTGGATGGTCCTACTTTTAAGTAGCCCCCCCTAAAAAAAGAGAAATAGATCAAATGAAAAGATATTCACTTTCAACAATGGTTTCCACTAACCTAGACTAGGTGTCGGTGACATCACTCAGATTCCTGAAAATCCCACAAGAAAGTGCACCGGAAAAACACATATGGCAGGCTCAGCATTCCCAGGATCCTGCAGTGATGCTGAGTGACCTCACCGGTGCCAAGACAAGAGGACCGGAAGTCAGAGTTTGCATTTATCTGCTAATTCATTTAAAAAACATGCGGGGGATTTATCAAAACTGGAGCAGACAGTATCTTGTCCATATTAACCAATCAGCTGCTCAGTTAAAATGAAAGCTTAGTGGTTGTATGGGCAACTGCTCCAGTTTTGGTAAATCCCCCTCGGTGTTTTCACATGGGGGTGGGGCTATAAAATAGACTACACATTTTCTTACTAGGTCTACCTTAGCAGGTAAGGTGAGTAGGCGGAGCTGGGAACACAGGTGTGGCAACTGTTTTTCACACAGAGATATTAGAAGAAATGGCATCCGCCCAAACTCAACTGGAAATGTTATACTTTATCAATAATAGCTAGAGAAAAATACATATTCCTCACATTTTTACAATGCTTGTCGCCATTACTCGTCTCTAGCAAGGGTAATACACTCCCTCACATCTCTGCACAGCCTTCCCGCCTAATCAGCCACTTTCCCGTACCATGTGACTCCCATCCACGCCCACTCCACCCGGAGCGTCCTGGTAGCGTTGTGGTAGCTACACCCTCGGCGGTGACGTCAGCAGGCTGCGCCGGACAGCGCACGTTGTGTATGTGTAGAGCTGAGCTGCAAGTCCTCCTGGTTGTGTAAGTAGAATCGTGTGTGTCAGTCTCCGGTTATATCTGTTTCCACCGGCTGTATAAGTTAGATAGGAAGGTTTTCTGAATTCAGTTTATATCATTAGTTAACACAGGCTGTTAAGGTAATGGCATTAGTTGCGCACCCTCCAACATGACACGCTTTACTTCAGAGGGTTCTACAGTTTTAGATAGAGCTGAGAACAGTTAGAACGCCCTTTAATACTTTGTTTCATTAATTAGATATCTTCCTGCCTTGTGACAGTGTTGTTACTGTAGCTAGTGAGATCTCTCCAATGTGGATACAGAGCACAAAAAAAAGAAAAGCAAAGTCAGGTTCAGCAGTCACTACCTGGTTCACACCTATGCGTATTGTAATATGCGCGTCTGTCGCGCGACCGTCACGCGTTTTTTTTTACCGCGATTCGCGGTAAAAAGCAGCGCGACCGTCGCGCGATTCCAAAGGCTACTTGGCAGTATACAAAGGGAAAACGCCCTACAAAACGGACCAATACGCAGCAAAAAACGCTCCGGGACCTTTTCATGCGTGGGCCGTTTTGTAGTGCGTTCGGGACGGGCGGAAATACGGACAGGTGGGAACGAGGCCATTGACTACAGTGCTATTTATTTTTTTGACCGTTTTGTAGAGCGTTCATCGAGCGTAGGACGCGCTACAAAACGGTCAGGTGTGAACCCTTAATAATAAGGGCCCATCTATACCAATCACATTGTGGTAACGTACGTTGATTGCTTGTGGTGCTATTGTGACTGAACCCCCAAAAGCACCACCAAATGCATGTGAACTGTATGTTGCACTGTGTTAAAAAAGATGTTGCCAGCACCTGGGTTTCCATTTTCAGTCGCAACACACTTTAATGTTTGAGAACGAATGTCCTTCAGCATGATTGGTCCCTTATTGGCTATTTGTAATGCCATTGTGTTCCTGTTAGATTTCTCCCTCATTTCCTGTCATAGTGACAATGTTGTCAGCTGGACAGAGACTGATGGAAAATCACATCCATGACCCTTTGCCACAGACATGAAAAAAAACCTGGCTTGGATACTGATGATTTTACTGTAGTACTTGCGTCAAGTAGAGGAATAAGGGGTTCTGACTTATCTCCGATGCTGATTTGCTGCATGCTTATAATTAGTGTGTAACTGGCAAGTACAGAAACCAGGCACAGCCAAAAACTGGTACAGGACAGCAATGGCAGGCACCATATTTCTCTCATGACATGAACACTTTAAAGGGACACTCGTCAGAGAATAATGCAGGCTGTGATTACTTTGAGAATGCTAGTTCTATGGCTGTCATTCTGATGCTTTTATTTTAATGCTCGGTGAGTCTCAGACTCTGAACACGTATAAAGATAAATGAATCTTCTCATTTCAAAATGCTTGTTCCAGGACTGTGACTGAAACATACTGAAATCAGTATGTTTACCTCATACTTCTCTCATGGCAATCACTTTAAAGAAGTCTCACAAAAAAAAAAAAAAAAAAATACATTTTTATTTTATGCACTAGGGGACCAAGTGCATATAGCATATGGCCCCTGTAGAGGAAGGTGCAGCCAACTCAAGTCAGTGCTAAAGGGGTGTGTGATAGAGCTGCCAGCTGCTAGTAAACATACAGTGCACCAGCAGCTTTATCACACAGGCCCCACAGCGGTGATCATTTATTCATAAACGCTCACTCGGCACCGCAAGGCTCTGTGATCTACTTGCCATAGCTGCTGGTAAATACATAGCCCACAGTGCTGGGTAATATTTTATGAATGGCAGTACTGGTCTCCAGAGCGGTCACTGCTGCCAGAGACCAGGGCTGTCACTCAGTACTCCTTCTTCTCCTTGCTAGCAGTGTGGTTAGACAGAGGTGCTTATACTGTCTGATCATGCTACTTGGCAACGGCAGGACAAACTTGGTCCCCTAGCGCAGTTCCATCTTCACCTCTTCGATCTCCCGGGCGTCCGCCCCATCTCCTGTCTCCGCCCCCTGCCACTCCATCCCCGTCTCCTCCGCTGCCGCTCTAGCATTGAGCTAGTGCGTCCGCCCCATCTCCTGTCTCCGTCCCCTGCCGCTCCGTCCCGGTTCCCGTCTACCACGATGGGCATTCAGGCCCGGAACATACAGCTGTCCCTCCTCCGTGTCACAGACTTTACTGCAGTTCATTGTACAAAGTTTTTACAATGAACCGCAGTAAAGTCTGTGACACGGAGCTGGGCAGAGCAGAGTCGGGAGCGCTGCTTCGCCTGCGGCCCAGTACCATTTGATCCGCGGCCCGGGGATTGGGGACCACTGCCCTAGCGGATGGAAAAAAAATTACCATTTTTTTGGAGGCTTCCTCTTCAAATGCCCATTTATACCTATGCATTTTAACGCACAGAAACTTGTTAGCCATTTTTATTTTAATTATGCAAATTCACATGTGCGTTGCCTGTTTTTTGATACGTCAACTCTCATTATAGGGAGACACACTGGCAGTGCTTGATAAGGTGTGCATACAGCCTAAATGTCAGGTGATGGAAATATGACCAGTAGAGAGAAGCCCAGGAGGGGAGTGTTCAATACCTTTTATAGAATGTATCATTTTGGATGGCTGCATCTTTTTTTCATAGCTGACACCTGTAACGAGATTTACAGGAGCGCCCTTCCTGACCATCAAATTTAAATGCTAGTTACCTGGCTGTCTCAAACTTCAATTAATTCTGTATTTTCTACAGGTGCATTGGAGTAATAACTGGTTCTAAGTGAGTTGTTCATAAGCTGGATAGTTCATATTTAGCAGCAGGTTGTATAAACAATATCAATGGTTTACTTTGTGGCTCCTGTCAGAGAGTATAGACACAACATTTTTCCTAAAACTGTATTTTTTTTCTTAACTTTTAGTTCAAAACATGTCAGGCAAAGAAAAGGTGGTAACTGACAGTGAAGAGGATGACACAGAAGGGACAGAAGAGGAGGATGACACAGAAGGGACAGAAGAGGAGGATGGAACAGATGAAGAGGAGGCTGAGAATGGAGAGATGAAGACTGTAGTGAGTAAGGATGGACATGGGGAAGAGGATGCATCAGAACACCAGACAAATATGTTGGGTGAAGATGAAAATCCTGATGGAATTAAGAAGAAGTCAGTTATTCCCGGCATCATATACCTTGGTCACATCCCACCGCGCCTCCGGCCTCGCCACGTCCGAAACATGATGAGCGTCCATGGAGAAGTGGGGCGTATTTTTCTGCAAGCCGAAGGTAAGAAAAGATTGTATGGTTGTTACCACGTGACAAGGAGGACTTTTCTGGAATTTAAATTAGGAAAGTGCTTATTCCGGAGACACTGCAGACCACCCTGGGTCAACTTCTGTTGAATCGCACAAATTGCACATGTGACTGTCTTCTCCTCCAAGTTATGATCTGTGATTTATGGTTAGGAGTAAAATGCAGGCCACAGTGTCCAGCAGCTCCATCCATATGTGCATTGCTTGTACAGCTTCCTTGTGCGCCATGTAGAGGTGCCGGGAGGCAGAATGTGACGTCACTCAGGCCTGGGCAACATATTTAGAATGGCTGCTCGGTGCGAAAAATGACAGTGCTGTGCTAGGGGGAGGCTGAGGAGCCGCTTAGCTGGCGCAGTGGAAGGCAAGTGGTGACCCACTGAACACGGGGTCACAACCCACCAGTTGGGAACAACAGCATTAGGGTGTTACCTACAGTACAGTCATTTTGGTCAGTTTTAGAAGAAGCCTGGTGGACAGTCACCTGTTGGTCTCTTGTATGTTTTGGGGACTGAGGAGTAAGTTTTGCTTGTTTTGGTTTGCCATGTCTCTTCCTGTTCACATTTAGAGACTCATTCCTCCTGCCATGGCGGTGCTTGCTCCCATTCCATTCTAAAATACTTCAATCCAGTCGTGGCAAGAATGCAGATGCAGAAACCCAAGTTTGGGGACTTTAGTACCTGAGTCAGTGCTACAAAAATAGTGCGTTTTCAGTGAGCATATATTTTGATATATTATTGCATTGCTTATGCCAACATCATTTTTATTATATCACTTTAACATTTTTACAAGTCTGCTTTTTGTTCCAAAACCTTTTTGTTTTACTAAATATAGAGATTTTGTAGATTTGCCACAGGAAGCTCTCAGTGTAGTCACTCTTCTTGTCTCTTGAACAAATATATCAGCCACACAGGGAGTGCATTGTTTTCAATACCCAGCAGATACATAGTAAGGAGCAGTCAATTATTAAGTAGAGGTGCAAAGTATGGAGCAGAGCCCAAGTATATAAAGATCTAATATGGCTGTCCCCACTTACAGATAGCTGCAAGATACAAATTCTACATAGGACTTGGTTTTTGAAATGTAAATACATATTGATAGTTTTCACAAAGCAAATTGAGTACTGCAGAGTCAAAATCGAAGTATTTAAAACTACAGCATCCGATGAAAACTGAAATTCCAGTGGGCAGATCCACTACTGACACCTGCTATCTTAATTAAAACATGCATATAACTCAAGGGTAAGCAACCTTCGCACTCCAGCTGTTGTGGAACTACAAATCCCATGAGGCATTGCAAGGTTTTTACATCCAGACATGATTCCCAGAGGGAGGGGCATGATGTGATTTGCCTACCCTTGGCCTAGTTCAGGGGTCAGCAACCTTAAAAACTCAAAGAGCCATTTGGACACGTTTCCCACAGAAAAGAAAACACCGGGAGCCACAAAACCCTTTTGGCATCTAAAATGAAGATAACACGGCATATATAGTCTTTTACCTTTATGCTATCTATAGCATGTATATAGGTATATGTGGGCTTAGTAACACTGGGCTTAGTAACGCACTGGTCTCTGGACTTACCTGAGACCCTGCAGCGCACACCTGAGAGTGGCCCTGCAGAGCACACCATAGATCTTGCACAGCCCATCTGAGACTCTCTATGGTGGGCTCAGGTGGGCTGGTCGCCGGGGTCCCCTTTTCCCTGTACCTCCTCTCAGCTCCTCTTACCTGCTGCTGCTGGAGCCTGGCCTCCTTCACCCCCTCCCGTCACCTCTGCCATGCCGCCTCTGGTACAGCTGATACTCGTGTAAGAGGCCCCCCCCCCAGGCTGCCCAGAGCCCTCACATGAGTATTGACCGTACCCCCCTGATGGCGGCGTTCTATCAAACTTTGTCACTACGTTACAATGTGTGACCGGTGACGGGGTCACACATTTCAATGTAATCCTGCCCAGTTTTTTAGCGGTGGAATGTGGGACCACCAATAGGTCAAGCATTCCAACGCTTTCTCAGCTGTTCCAGGGCAGATCGGCATCGCAAATCGTATGTGCAGGAGAACCAATCTGCCCTGGAACAGCTGTTCGGTCCTGAAATGTAATTTCTATCTGACTCCACCCCACTCACAAAGTTGGATAGAAGTGACATTTCAGGACCGATCGGCTGTTCCAGGGCAGATCGCTGACCACGTCAACGGTCACACATTGTAACGTAGTCACAAACTTTGATAGAACAGCGGCCCTGTCTAATCATGTAATCAGAGAAATAGATTATAATAGAGAACATTACATTGTAATGTTGCCCATTATAATCAATTTTTCTAATTAAATGAAATAATAGCACACAGTATGCAGTTACACCCGGACCTCACTGGGCCCCCTCAGGCCCCGAGGCCCTGACGGTAGTCCCGCCCCTGGACAGGGAGCCACAGCAGAGGGATGAAAGAGCCACATGCGGCTCCAGACCCCTGGCCTAAATTATACATACACATGTGCATTAGATCTCCCCTAATTTTCTGATCAAATTTAGTTTGATGTGGTAAATTCACTGAATTTTTTTACATCGCGTAATGTTTTGTGTTTTCAACCCCTTTTTTGGCAGATCGTGCAATCCGCAAGAAGAAGAAAAAAGCGGGCAGTAATGCCCGTGACTTTACAGAGGGCTGGGTGGAATTCCGGGACAAACGTGTGGCCAAGCTGGTAGCATCTAGCCTGAACAACGCCTCCATGGGTACGAGGAAAAAGAACCGCTTCCATGATGACCTGTGGAATATGAAGGTGAGGTTGGGGTTTCTGCCATAGAGGCAGCAATTTTGAATGCTGACTGGTATTTGTGAACTTTACATATTGCAGATTCATAGTGTTCTCTGTTCTGAGGAAATTGATGTTTGCTTTACCATATTCCTGCTCAGTCTGATTTTGAAATGGGAGGGTCAGCCTTTATTTTTACCACCTGAACAATCTATGTTATGTAATAAGAAATTCTGCATGCCTAAACATTTGATAGGGTCTGCCTTGAAATACAATGCCTATTCCAGGCAATGCTTTAAATTTGACTTCAAGCTCTCTGCAGACTTTTAAGGGGGGAAACAGTGAGGAACATAGGTAAAGGAGAGTTCTTTGGGAATTCCATATCAAAACAATATACTTTTTCTTTGTATAATAAACATTTATCCGTTTTCAATCCTGCCGGCATCTGTATTTTTTTTTTTTTAAATAGTTAAAATATAGCAAAACTTTCTGTTGTATTTTGTCCTGCTGCTTGAGGAATGCCTAAAATAGAACATGACAAAAAATATATTTTGGATAGCTTTGCATATAGTGGGGAAATGTTTAACCCCTTCACGACCAATGACGGGATAATCCCGTCATGAAGTCGGAAGGGGTTACACAGACTCCCAGCAGCTTTTAGCTGCCGAGAGTCTGTTCCGTTTTGTCAAGCCAGCGACCGGCTTTACAGTAAAGCAATTTTGGCGGCTCAGCTGCCGCCAGATCGCATGTACGATCCGGTCACCAGGCTGCGATCTGCACTTTAATAGCTTATTTAGAGTGTTAATGTGACACTGGGGGGTGTTTTGGACCCCCAGCATCACCTTAGAGTGCCTGTCACTGCCATTATGCTATCACATGGGGGGCTTGTAAGCCCCCCACCCCCATGTGATAGCAATTAAAGTAAAGTTTAAAAAAAAAAAGTTTTAAAAATAAGATTAAATAAATGTAAAGATAAAAAAATGAAGTCCCCTGAAAACACGCTTTGTCACGTAAACACGCATCGGGTGCGCATGCATATGAAAAGGACGATCGCGCTACACATGTTGGGTATCGCCACGCACGGTGGAGTGCGAGCAATAATTCTAGGGCCAACATTTATCCGAATCTCTAAACTGATGACCTGTAGCGGCTTTTAAAGCGTCATCTATGGACTTTATGGAGTACTGAATTCTGTCGCAGTTTAACGCACGCAAACAATTTTTAACCTGGGCGTGTTGGGTATCTATTTACTCGTTGTAACCTCATCTTTTATATTTTACAAAAATGGTTTTATATAGTGTTTTTGGGCACTAAATTCAAGTTAAGTGCATTTTTCACTAAATTTTTAGGTTTGATAATAAGTTGCGCTAATGTCGTTCAAATTTGCAACTGCCAACATTTTATTCTACAGTGTCTTGGCTTTCAGAAAATGTATAATGTTTGGGGGTTTTAAGTCATTTTCAGGCCTAAAATGTGGATTATAACATGTTAACAAAAAATTAGAAAAGGCCTTGGTCCTTTATCGGGTTAAACCCGTCTGGTTTTTGTTGTTGTCTTGTGTCCACCTTAAATGTAATGGTACATTTTTAGAACCTCTGTGGGGTATTTAGCAGATTGAGTTCCACCTTAAATAATTTTCGCTAATGTTCTCCATCTACAGTATCTGCACCGTTTCAAGTGGTCTCACCTTAGCGAGAGGTTGGCTATCGAGAGGCAGGTACGGCAGCAGAGAATGCGCGCCGAAGTGTCGCAGGCTAAGAGAGAGACTAATTTCTACCTGCAGAATGTAGACCGCAGCAAAAAGTTCTCCAAAGCCGACCGTAAGAGGGCAATGGAGTCTGAAAGCAGCACCATCCCTGACAAGCAATGGAACTTCACACAGCGCAAGACAGAGGTTGAAATACAAGCCCTCAAGGCATCCAGTGACAAGAAACGAATTGAGAAGCGGCAGGAGCAGGCAGAGCGTGCACAGGAGAGATCCCAGACGAATCGCTCACTTCTGCAGAAAATATTTAACCCTTCTTGAGCAAGGAAAGAAAACCGTAAAATTTGAACTTTTGGGGCACCAATATAGGACAGACGAGCGTCTTTGCCTTCTTCCCTGAGCAGCAGCAGTTTCCACTTTTCTACTAAGGGCTTTTGTTCAGTGTAAATATTTGTTTTTTAACCTCGAACATATGGAATCCATCTTGATCCTCCATCACTAATAGACATATATGTGATGGTCTTCTGAACACCCACCGAAGTTCAATGATCTGTAGCTCTACAGATGTATCGTAGTATTCCCAACTCATCAAAGCATTGGTGATTCCAGTGGGCATGTCACTGATGCTGCAAAGGTGTGGTGTGTCCTGCTGGAGCATTAGCTTTGAAAGTCAGCCTCTGGATCTTGGCGGTGACAGATAGCGACCCTGATAGGTTATGTGTTGCAATGCACTACTTTGCATTGCCAAAAAATGCTGCAAGTGCAGTTCTTCAGTACATTTTGGCAGCCTGTTTAAATAAATGGGCTTCCTTAACATGATGCATATTACCTATAGCACAGACTGCCATGGTGTGAATAACCCCTTTAGGTGAACCTATGAATATAGACATGTGGAAGCTGCTGTTGCTGGCTTGTTTATGAAGTGATCATTTTTTTGAAAGGTAAAAACTTATGTATAGGTATACATTACAGATTTTAGCAGGTGTTTGCTGGCTCTTACCTGCCTTTGTCCTGTAACTGCAGAGACAGGTCATTGCTATAAGTGGCAGATGTCTGCCTGCTATTAGCACACAATTTGTACCAGTACTGTAAAAAAAAAAAAAGAGAAAGCATGCATATTCACATCGGTCAGTGTACAAAACAGTTTTCTTGTACATCACCATCAAGATAAAGTTTCTTTGAAGGGAAGCTTTAACCTCCTTGGTTGTAATCCCGAGTGTGGCTCGGGATTAATTTTCAGTACCATAAGCGGTAACCCTGAGCCACACTCGGGATTACAGCGTAGCGTTGCTTACCTTGTCCCTCAAGCCACGCTGTGTCCTCCGGCATCCGTCCCTTGCGAGCGTCCGCGTCGCAAGGGGGCGGAACCGGTGGGAATTTTAAAAGTAAAAATTACGAGAGAAAAAAATGACAATCAGACCACCAGGGAGGTTAAGTGACTACTGAGGAAATATGCAGGCCGCCATTACTAACCTCTCCTGAAAATGTTAGTTGCCTGGGTATCATGCTGATCCAGTGTGCTCCTGTCTGTACTAATTTACCTCTTAAACGATTACTTTATGGCTATGAACCTACATTTAAAGGCCAGCTGCCTTCAGTACTGATATTTCAGGCAAAATAGAAATTTTATATGTAAATGCAGTCTGTAAAATCTCATACAAGCTTTAAACATGTTCATGTAATTTGTAAGTTATTTTAAAGCTGCAGTTTTCATTAAACTAATACCTGGTAATCTTGCCATAAAGGTTCTTGTTCAGGCACTTCCTAATATAGGGTAACAGTGCTCTGTCCCTGGCTTCCAATTGCTCTGCGTGGTCACCTTCAATGTACAATTTGAGTGGCCATGCCAATATTCATTGCACAAGTATGTTCCTAATAAATAAAAAGCAGCCTTTTAATGAACATCATCGCTACATTACAAAACAGCGGCTCCATTTTGAATCGTGCACCAACCACTTCCATCTGTATGATAAAAACAACAGCTGCTGAATCCTAGCAGACTGTGCAGCATAAGAGTTAATTTAGGCCTTGTCCTTCCTAATTATGTCATACTAAGTAGCGGCCTAATCCTTGCATCCTCTGCGTTGAGCTACCCCCTCCTACAGCTTTTTGAGGCATTCGGTTGTTCAGAAAGTGTGGACATTCCTTAACATTTTCTTGAATAAAACATTCAGTGCAGTGGGATTCAAAGGCTTTATTAGGAAATTAGAATGATTCACAGGATAAGTCATTATGTGGGCCTGAAGTACTAAAGCCCATTAAAAAAAAAGTTTCCCTGGAAAGAGTAAGCTGGCACTGAGGACACCTGAGGACTATGACTTTTGCTACAAGGCAAATCAAGCATTTGAAGAGAACAAGAGAAGTCACTACCTCTCACTACATTTAATTGCTGGACAAAAGAAGTCTGGCCTGTCAGCTTTGGTGGGACCACAGGTTAAAGGTATTACTCTGTGTTGTATCATCTCCCTAGAAGAAACAGGGAACATGGCAATTTAAATTATGGTACCAACTGAAGTTAGGTTGCAGAGGAATTGTCTTGCAGCAAACAAAGTGATCAGTTACAGGCGGATCAAAGCACAACTTTGTATTGCCATGTTCCTATTGGGAAGATTTCTCTTACTTGCTGTCTATTTGATAGGAGGCAAGCAGAAACTGACAGCCAGCAATAAAAAAAACAAAAACATTTTCTACTAGAGAGGGGAACGGTTGGTCCCTCTGTCAGGGTTTTATTACTGGCCGTGTCACCAAGAAGCCCCTCACTTCCTGACCAAGTGAAATGTCAGAACAGGAAGAGAAGAGAAATCTATATTAACAAGACAGGATCAGTAATCTTTCGGCTTAATCCGAAACTATTTGGTGAAAAATCTTTAGGAAACACTGGCAAAACGGTTCCCCATAGAGATGAAATGACAGTCTTTGTCATCAGTTTTATGTATGTGGGAGGCTGCCAATCTAGTGGAACATTTGATGAGCCAGGTTAGAAAACATCCTAGTCACTGCTTCAAGATAAGTGTCCACTAGCACTCTATCATCTCCCCAATCCCTTCAAATGTGTGGCCCTGGTACCTATGGGCAGGCCCGGATTTCCCACAAGGCCACCGAGGCCTGGCCTCGGGGCAGCAGAGCCCCAAGGGGTGGCAGCGGTGACCTTGTGGGGAAGTTGCGGGCGCCGGTGTAAGGTGTCCGGCTGCCGCACACTACGGTCCGCTGCCATCCAATCACGACGGGGCGGCCCGAGGCTCCGCCCACCGGCTCCGTAGTGTGCGGCCGCCGGCCAATCACGGCGGGCCGCAACTCCTCCCCCCAGCTGTCAGATACTTCCTCCGGCGTCAAT